TCATTTGGAGCGTCGGGCATTTCCTCATCAAGGATGTATTTCTTTTGCTCTTGAATTAGTACAATGCGCAGATTTCTTTGCCAATTAAGAATGTTTGGCCCGCTCAACTTCTCCTTGTCGAGAATTGAGCGTAAACAGAATTGGTTGTTGTTTGAGTTACTTGCAGACATTGTTCTAAAATTGAAAGAATTTGAAATGAAAAACCATTCATGACATTTTATCTCTTTTTCCACGACATCTAAGGACTCCTTACTGATATCGTTTAGCTTAACCAAGACAACTTGTATACCTAGTATACCTTACGTTCCTAGGGAAGTAGTGATGTCTCGCTTTGGCGTAGTCCATCACGTACGCGCATTATTTCGGTAAGTGTTGTTCTTGGAACGACAAATTTTAGCTCAATATTATTAAGGGACCTAGGGTTTCTATGTTGGTTGATTTAAGTGAACTTAACTAATCCTCGCAACATAATAGAAATACTAGACATGCATCTAGCAATCATATATATAATAACAATATATAAGGCATAATATAGATGCATTTGGCAACTAGCATGACCCCTTGAAATCTTCAAATCTTTAAGGGTCTTCATCTTGGCTCATCTTCATCGAAACACCGTCTTGAGACATCTTGGCCAAAATAAAATAACTAGGTAGTACGACTAAGATTAATCTAAAGTACAAAAATACTTAACGGTTCGTAGTCCGTATTTAGATTTACAAAAAAACATATCGGAACATAGTCCGTATTTTCTATCCTAGTCGGGCCCTACTAGTTGCCTTTTCAATAACCTGTTTTGAAAACAATTTTTTCATTCACCCAATCACTTTTTGTGAATGGGCCATGCATTTTACGAAATACACAATTAAACACGCAAAACTAGTAACTAACTTAGGTAGTTAATCCGATTAACGCGCCTAATTGAAACTAGTCAAAGTTGTTTAATCCATCATTTCTGAAAACAAAAAGCTCACGTAATTAACCAAGTTCCTACTAAATTCCGCATCCATACTTAATCAATCCGATTAATTAAGTTGGCATAACCCATAATTTGTCGAAATCAAAAATTTTGCAAAAGCCAGAAAAATCGAGGTCTAACCTCGTAAAAAATATTACATAAATAATTTAAAACGGCAAAATTTTCACAAAATTACATAGCTAAAAAATTAAGCAAACTAGCCTACACATTTTCTTGGTGGGTGCGCATCATGGCTGTTAGGTATCCCATGTGTTGCGCCTGCTGTGCTGTGTGCTAGCATCCACGCCTAGTGTAGCGTGCTACGCCATCTAGCACTAGCAGCTCGCTGCCCAGCAGCACGCACAAGCAATTCCAGCAGCAGAACCACGCACCCAGCACTACGGCAACACGTAACTGCCATGCCACATAGCAGCCCCTCAAGGCAAACCCCTGTGCGCACCATTGGCAGCCCGGCTAGCCTTGGTGGCGCTTGGGTGTTTTTGCCTCGATTTGCGTGCCATTTCTCGGGATTTTAATCCCGATTTACTTGTGACATAAAATTAATCTAAATTTATTTTAGAATTAATTTAGGGCAAAAATAAAAATAAAACAAGTCCAACTTAGTTAAATTCAATTTTAATATTGCATAAACAAGTCCAACAATTTTTAGGTCTTTCTTTATGCTTAAAATTAAATGAGCTATGTCCATAATTAATTTAGCCAATATGCAAATTAATAATGGATTTTTCAAATGGGAGTTGGAAAAATAAATTAACCATCCAATGATAAAATTTCCAACTTTCGTACTTGTGTAAAATACCAAGATTACATCTTCCAATATGAAGATTAATCAAAATTTTACTCACAAGTATTTGAACTTCATGGATTTTAATCAACCAAAATGAAAAATCCAAATTTTGTTCAATATGGAATTTAGGGTTAGAGTTCCAATCATTTAAACTATTATAGATTAGATCTTTAACATACTTGGGAACTTAAAATTACACATTCACATCAAACATTCACATATTAATGCCACTTATTTGCATAATTGTGAAAATTTAAGTTTGTGTGACAAATAGCATATCAACTCAAGCAATAATTAAAACTCCATAATTATGCTTAAGGATATTTAAAATAGCAGTAGATTAGGGATGCAATAATGCATTTAATCTAACCTTGTAATGCTTGCATTAATCAACGCTTAAAAAGATTTAAAATTTTCGTTGAAAAACGAAAAAACCCAAAAAACATGGGTTTCTGGTTCGAATTTGGCTTCTGGACAGGCCTAAAAAGGGTTGAATCTGTTTCAGAATGTCGATTCCACCCAAATATCACTATTTAAGAGCCAAAATCTGGGTTCGACAACCAAATCGAGAAAAAAAAATACGAGTTTTATCTAATCTAATTAGAAAAGCAAAACCAGAAATTAAATCTTACATTAAAACACCTTAATTAATAAATAATTGCAAAAATTAAACGGAGCATGGCTCCGATACCGCTGTAAGGTTTCGTAGTGACCCACACTACGCGTAAAGAAATCCTCCAAGACTCGCCCCCATACTAAATGCAATTAACAAGCAAAACATAACTTAGAGCATAAGAAAGGATAAAAGATTATACCTTTGACGCGTGCTTCGCTCAACTATTAGCTCTTACTTGAACCCCGAAAATACAAGGTCTCCGATGGATCGTACCCTCGAACCCGACCCGAACGTCCTAAGCCTTTAAGGTTAATCGAGGCTCGGACAAAATAAACTAAGATTATTACGAATTCAAGGTTTACTCAAATCAAGAGTTGCCTTTTCAATTCTACTCAAGTGTTTTCTTTCCCAAATACCCAACTCTTGGTACTTATAGGGAAATGAACCCTTGATTTTCATTTCCCAACCAATGTGGGATAATGAATAAAATTGATAATTAGATTAATTCTAAATTAAATTAATAATCAAATCAATCACAATGCAACAAGTGTCAAGGGGAGAGAAAGATTTGAGTGAGGACTAAGAAAAGGTAAGGGGGACCATTGCCTTGCTCCCCAAGGCTTTTCCCAAGCCTTGGTCCCCACCCTCACAAAACCAGTCATAGGAGGCTGCTGTACTGGCAGCCAGCTAGCATGCCAGCTAGCCAAGCCATCCAACACAAGGTAGCAAGCATCAGCCCAGCCAGCCATGCGCGCTGTATGCTGCTGTGCTGAGTGATGCCCATGCTGCGGCTTGCTAGGCGTTGGGCGTTGCTAGCTGCCTAGGTCTCCCCTACGCAAGCGTATGCACACGCCCACCCATCATGCGTGCTGCTAGCGAGCCACGCATGCTGGGCATCCCCTCTCGCATAGCTAGCATGCACTAGCACTAGCACTCGCACACGCATACGCACACGCACAGGTGTGATGTGCTTGGTGCGTGGCCTGCGATGGTGCCTACGCACACGCATACACGCAAGGATGCTTGCAATGGTGCTGTTGTGTGAGGCTATTATTGCGATGGTGCGAAACACGCACGCACACGCACACACGCAAGTGCCTAGCACTGCGATGGCTGTGCTCGGTGCGTGTGGCCTGCGATGGTGTCTAGGCACCCATGCACACATGTTATGGTGCTGCTGTGCCATGTGAAGGCACGCACACACACACGCACATGGTGCTGCGATGGGCAGCTTAGTGTGCCTAGCACTCATGCCTCGCCTAGGACACCATGGTGCGCCTAGGCTCGCGAGGAGCTAGCCTAGCCTAGCATTTCACATGGCTAAGCCAATGTGATGCTACGACTATGCTAGCACTTGTTGCTTGTGATTTTGCGACGCTCGGCCTCGACACCCTAGGCTTGATATCTGACGTCTGTGTTTGTAAAACTCCGACGACTCATTAAATCTTTCGGATTAATTCGTCGTCTCGGATCGGTTGTTCGATTGGGTTCGACCCGAAGGGTTTTGTTAAGATTAAGCTGTAATATTAATTATACCTTAATATTACTGATCGAAAGCGGCCTCCACCTAGGCATTCCGATCACTTGACCTTACTTAAGAATTTGCTCTGTAATAATTCCGAACCCTCTATGAGAATAATACATTTTTTGGAAGGACACCATTCCATTCAATAAGTTTGTTGTAGATTATATGCCACAGCCGCGTTTATTTTGCAAACAAAAATTATAACACGAGAAGAACTTATCTGCATGGGCTGGTCTTTATGTCGAGGATGCTGAAAATACTATATCTTTTTTAACTTATAAATGTGTTAGGGAAATAAGCCTGTTTTATACAATAGTCAATGGTCTACTCATCCGTCATGTATGATAAATATTATAGGTATAATGACGTTTCTTTTTTTAACTTGCAGATTAAGATTTGTTAAACTCGTGTTTCTGTTGTATGTAATAATATGTTTTACAGTTCAAAACAACACACACAAACACAGTAGTTCACAATATTAGTTGTATTGCTCTCACCTACTCCATAATGGGCATAATAAAACAAATTTATATTAGTCTACATTATATCAAATGCAGAAATTCAGGACATATAAACATAACAACCCTAAAATTTTACACTAACACCAATAAAATAATAGATCAATATGGATTCCAACTCTGACAACGTCTACTCTGACCTTCAAATCCTACATATGCTGAGAATGTACCACCTTGATTACAAGAACAATCTGCGAATCATAAGGTGCATATTCATAGGAAACTATTCATGTAACCACCTCTATTTTCAACACATGAATATAACCGCCTAATGGTACAGTTCATGCACGACAAGTGTACCACTGAAACATGTTTAAACAACAAATACATTCCAATGCATTAATCTACAAGTTGAATCGATTACATTACAAGTGATTAGAACCTGATGTACCAGGACTATCTAGTACACTTGTAAAAAACCACCAGAATTTTTTCCCCTAACAGAAGTGAAGTACCCTAAGGAACCATCCACATCCCTCATTTGAATCCCTCCAACCGATCGTACATAGTCATTCGTTGACAATGACAAACTGTTCTGTGCCGCCGCAGCTTGCTTTTTTGCTGCATTTTTCGTCCTAGCACCCTTTTTTTCCCTTTTTCTCTGTGCAAGATGGATACCTTACATTGGTCGTACGATGGGCCTTCTTCCGAGGCAACGGTGGATCCCTAATCGCTGCTGGTACAGATCCATCACAACTCCCCACAACGGCACTAACTAGTGTAGGGATTGTATTTGGCAACCCAGATGCATGTGTGGCTGGTGTATTTCTATAACCAGGCCCCTTGTTCAAAGCCACAAAAGAAGGCGCCCGAACAACACAACGTACGCCATCATCCTGACCTTCATTTTCATTATCCTTAGCTGCATGTTCCTGTTTTTTAGCAACCATTGCCAACACTTCATCGACTTTGAGTTCCATCAATTGCAACAACTCTGCCATAGCCTCAACACCCTCCTTACAAGCTGAAGCCTTAGAGCAAATTGGTTCATACATCCCCATCAATTTGTGATACTTCCTGGTTTCATCGGTGTTAAGTGGATCATGGTAAGCTACTTTCACTCGTGTGTGTTTCCTTTTAATATCCTTCCTCCAACGACGTAGAATATACATCTCAGGAACAAAAGAAACACCGCAATGGTCATACACAAAGATCATATGACAACAAATGATTTCATGGCACTCAAAGTGTTTACAGTCACAACTAGCTTCATATCTATTACTGTCATAGCACACCCTATAGCATCTCCGAGTCTTAGTCACATATTCTGTTTTTGCAAATTTTGGCTTGATCCATACTCGGTCCTCAATAACAAACTCAACTTGATTCTCACCAACTTCATAGTCATCTAGGCGAAGCACGTACAACATCCTCTTACACTCCTGCTCGACTTCTTTGAATTTCGCGTCCGTGTGACACTTCTGGAACACTTCCTCCGCTGGGAAATCGGTAGATACATGCCTGATGTATCGTATTGTGTTGGAGCCGCAATTCTTTCTGACTCGGCCCTTACCTGCATTGCATCGTAGTATCAAAACACAAATTCAGACAACGATGTATGCTTGTCAACATAACCTTTGAAGAAGTTATTGAAACTTTCAGAACGTAGGGTCGTTCTCATCCCGACGAAGAATAAATGCTTCAAATAGGCTGGGATCCACATGTGCCTTTACTCATACAACCCTACATTTCAAATAATTGCAATTAATGGCCCATCTAAAAACATACAAACCTCATACACCTGCACTCCTGTGAATGGTACATTCACTGTCTCAGAATTGTACCACAGCTAAGAAACTTGCAACAAAAAAATTCAGTGGTACAAAAGTCTACCACTAAACCCGCTCCTACCCTAAATCAGAACTGAAATAGCTTCCAGTCCCCTAAACACAGACAACTACACCTCTTCATATTCTAACAGAAATCAGCAACAATCACAAACAAAAAACAAAATAAAAAAGCGAGAAATGGAAGTGTAGTACCTTCAAGCCAACTGTTATCTCCTAGTTTGTAATAATCAACTATGTGCACCCAATGATCTACAAATTCATCAGCATCTAAACTACCATAAATGATATTTTCAAACTCATCCTTTACAGCTTCATAGTCATCATGCTTACCCACATACCTCCCAAACTTCTGAAGTATTTGCCATATGCACCACCTATGGCAACTCTCAAGCATAGTCAAGTTTACAACTTTCCTAATCGTCGGTTCTTGATCCGTTACGATTGAGATAGGAGCTTTACCCCCCATTCAATGTAGCCAAGTCCTCAACACCCACTCATAGTCTCCGCCGTCTCCCGAGAGATCAATGCACACCCAAACAAAATACTCTGCCCATGATGGTTCACACCGATAAACACAGCAAAGGGAAGGTGAAATTTGTTTGTCAAATACATATTGTCAAAACACACAACATCTCCGAACTTCTCATACGCAGCTCCAGTCCTCGCGTCTACCCACACAACATCTTGTAATGCCCCGTTCTTCCCAAACCGACATAGATGGAAAAAATTATGATTGTCGACACTCATTTTGTTGAAGTACTTTATCATGCCATTCGCATCACCCTCAGTAAGCTCAAGTCTCGTTTTCTAAGCCACTGCATTCTCCAGGTCTCGTTGCGTAAATGTCATCTCCTCCACTCCATTACGCTCCCGAGCATAACAGCTGTACATTTGGGATACCTTCACCTTAGACTTCTTCGCCATATGTACCTGCTTCACCAAGTGATTGTTTTTCACCATTAACTCGTGCTTCTGGTACATCGCTACATCCTTTGACTTTCCCGGAGTAACAATGTGACCTTTGTACTACAAATTCGGCCTTCGAACAACCCAGTTCGCTTCCTCATTAACACTGGTATACAACTCCACAAGACACCCGCACTTTTTAGTCTTCCGTTTCTGAACTGTCTCCTCATCTTGCAACAACCCTTCCTTATGTGCATCCTGTTTACGCTTCCTTGAAGCTTAACCATAACAGTCACAAGTCCACTTTGCATTCCTTCTCTGCTTACAACACTTCCCCTTTTTCAATTCCTTCTTCACATCCACCCACCCAGAAGTAGCCCTCACTATACCAAAAACCTTTTGCCTAGCATAACTCTAGAAATAGGTATCCAACTCATCCCAACTCCCAAATACCATGCCCAAACTTGGGGGTGGTACTTCCTCTTCTACACTAAACATAGTGGGCACCATTATCGTGTTCTTCTTTGGGGTTATGAATGAGGAACCTTCTGCACCAGCCCCATCAAAGATCCCCTTCAACACCAGGCTCAACTTCATCTTTCTCGTAATCTTCCCCCTCATCCTCAACCTCAAACCCTTCCCCCTCTTCATCCTCCTACACCTCTCCTTCTCTTAATCCATCATCACTCACTAATCCCATACTCTCTAATCCCTCCTCATAAACAGATACACCATCCTCCCCACCATCTTCATATCCATCAGCAACATCAACCTAATTCACATACACAACCATGACTCATTGAAAATACAACACTACAACAAAAAACCAATAACCAAACACATACACGACAACACCAAACCCAATAAACTATATAATCACATAATTCATAAAAAACTTTTTTAAACCTTCTTTAACAGCAACTGGTTCGATAAATAACAAATTCAAAGCTTTTTTTTTTTTGGTTTGTAAAATTTTTAACACAAACAAGGTTCGATAATAACTCATACAATTAGCAGCAACTCATCCTTCACTCCATTACCATTCTTAAACCAACACATTCCCAAACAATTATAATACATTAAACAAATTTCATCAACTCAACTACAACACCCATTTTATCAAGTAACAATGAACAATCTACTTTCATATCAAAGATTAGGCAATTTAAGATTACCAATTAGCCATTTACTTACTCAATTACGTAGATAGAAGTTCATATCAAATTTACAACAAAGGGTCTTAACCATAACAAAGGAGCCTAACATCTTCGTCATTTAATTAAAAGAGTATACATTTTATAATTACCCAATTCAAATACTCATTTATAACCCTCAATTTTCAACTCCTTCATCTTTAACTCCTTCCACCACTTCAACTTCCTCATAATCTGACGCCTATTCCTCTCCATCATCTTCTGATCCCTGTTCATTCTCCTCCTCATCTCCTTCTCCATACCCATGCTCACTCTCAAACCCCTCCTTATTACCACATACATCATCCTCACCACCATCACCCCCCTATAAAAACGACACAGCCATAAAACAATCATATACACAACACCACCACAAGTATCAAAGTACAATATCTATATTATACATAACATCATTTTCATGGCTACATAAACCACCATACCAATGCACAACCATTTTCCATGTATCAATTTCAGAATTTAAAGACAACCCTCACTATTAATTTCAACCTACTCTAAAATCCAACAAGCACAACACAGATTAACCACACCCACCAATTGATCAGGTCAATCAACAATCTAACTATACCTACGACAATTGCTCAAAAAATGACTTACATTTAAACAATATGCCTACTTATTTAAGCACTAAGACAATCACTATCAACAACAACTATAAGTTGGCATGATAGCAATAATTGAGAGACACCAAAAAACCCTAACTTTTCAGCTAATTCAATTTTGTTTACTCCCTCAACTCATGCCTTACTAATTGTTAACTCAAACAAATACCTTATACACAACAGAACGACCTACATAGGGGTTTCAAACACTTACATTCTCACTATCAAACCGCAACTCCCTTGCGCAACCATGGCCTTCTTCACCACCTTCACGCAATGCTTCCGCTAAATCAACTCCTAATAAATCAGCAGCTAACCAATTTCGCATTGTCAAAATGTAGTTCGGATTCACAAATTAACTACTAACCACCTATAAAAAACTACATCACACTTCTCCATTTCCAAAATTAATTACAAATCTACCTTCAAACTGAATAATTGCAATAATGCATGTACGAAACTTACATTTTCACAATCAAATCACAGCTCCCGAGCGCAGCCCTGTCCGTCTTGTCCACCGTCACCAACTGCTTCAGCTACATCCACGCCAAGAACGTCAGCTAACCTCGTTCTCATCCTCCATTTCCAATGTCAAATTCTAGGCATTTGAGTGGTTTTAGTGCACCTGGGACAGTATTTCAATGCCTTCAATTTCATTTCGCTCAATTTGCCATTGAACAGTAAAACTATGCTTTGGGAAGAAAGAGTAATGAAGGAGCTTTGGGAAGAAAGAGGAATGAAAGAGGAAAGCTGCTTTGTCAGACTTCATTTTAGTTTCCCGCTTAGATTTTTGTTTCCCCATTTTCACTTTCTTTGCCCCGTTATTTTTTCCTCCAGCTGGCACCTAGTCCCCACCCAACTTCAACATATTTACATAGATTTCCATCCTATTTGCTTCACTCATCAATAGCGCCTATGCGCTGATAGTTATTAAAAAAACGTCAGACCCATCTCCTTTTCGAATTGTAGCTGCTCTATGGGGAATAATCTCCTACACCTCACTTCACCAAGCTCCACCATCATTAAATCACCAACAGTTATCCTCAACAGCAATTATCGAGCATCAAATCAAGGCCATTCGATCTTCATTAAAATGACGTGTGAAGCTCGTGAAATGGTTCGGTCGAACCGAGGGTTAGTCTGGCCGAACTATTGGTGTGTTCGAACGAACCTATTAAAATTTAAAAAATTCCAATGTTTTGTCTTTTTAGGCACTTTTTCGCACTTCGATCGAACTTCTATGCAGTTTGGTCGAACCCAATTGATATACAAGTTGCTTTAATTTTGGGCGGAAATGGTGGAAGTTGTTGTTGTTGATTGGCGGAAAATAGGAGCAGAGAGTAGGAGAGTGATAAAAAAATGGTGCGGATTGTGGCTGCGAACTGGCGACTTGGAGATTAAAGGGCTACAGTTGTTACGTGGCTGTTTAGTCAGAATTACACAGCTGCTGCAATAGAGAGGTGTGAAGGTCGATTGTTGGTGAGGAGATTATGTGGCTGGTGATGGCGACGGTGTGCAGGTGGAAGCTACAGTGGTGCGGAGGAGCTGAGCAATCAAGGCTGGTCGCGGCTGTGAGGTGGAGCGAGGTGGCCTTGTGGTTCTTAAGTGGTTATTGCGTTGGTGATTGATAGTGGTTTCGGTGTTGGGTGTAAGGTTAAGGTGGCTGGAAATGTGAATGTGGGGTTGTTTGCGTGGGGCTGATAAGAAGGAGCAGGGAAAATTGAGGTGCGCTACGAGGCTGCTGGTTTGATGTGGCTTGCAACAGTATGCTTGGTTGAAAGGTGAAGTTGGGGCTGCAAAGTTGGTGGCTGATGGTGAGGTTGGGTTGCAAGTGTGGAGATTGCTGGTAGCAGTTTGAATGGCTCGGCTTGGACCTTGAACTCGAACCTGCACACAAACAAACCCTAGGGTGAAACCGAGATAAATAAAATGGAATAATAAAATGAAAATAAATAAAGTAAATAGAAAATAAGAGAAATAAACTAAAAATAGAAAAATTAAATAAAACACTAACAAATAAAATAAGAAATAAACTTAAAACTAATAAAAATAAATAAAAGTAAATTAGAATACTTTCAAGGAAAATAAAGAACGAAATAAAAAATAAATCCAATGCAAATAAAATACGAAATAAACTAAAATTAATTAAATAAAGAAACTAAGCTAAAACATACTAAAATTACTAAATGAAATAGAAATTTTATTAAAGAGAAAATAAGAGAATAAAAGGGAAAATTAGGAGAAAATAAACACAAAAAAGACTTTAAAAACTACTCCCTACGAGTGACATAAATGTCACTCATCAGGGTACTTCCATTGTTGGTGTAAGGGTCGACTCTTTAGTTTACTTTCCTTATCATAACGTTGCTTCTTAGCATTCACCCTGTTCTTCCCTCTTTTTCAGGTTCCGATAGAGATTCGGTACCGTTCTTAGGCCGACCTTGATGGTGGTCTCCCAGACGCTTTTGACCTCTCGACATACAGTGTGTCTTCTTTGGCTCTGCGCGCCTTGTTTGGTATTTGAGGGAGCGAGTGGCTCATCAGCATAGTATTGATCATTTTGTGGTGCAGGCACTTCCACCTCCGTCGATGTTGCACGTGCGTATGCTGGAGGCGCTTGTGAACAGTGGGGATTGCCTTCTGATTTCTTGGTGAGAGCTCATGCATATGGATGCTGACTATTCTCGGGAGTTGCTTCCTTACTGGGCTCCACCACCACGTCTTCCTCAAGTTTGATCTTTTGGAGA